TCGGAAGCCGTAAAAGATAGCTGAAATTTTGGGGGAATGCGACCTTGCAGAATTAAATTCAGCTTTCATTTACGCTTAGATCTCACGTGCGGCCCCAAGAAAGTTTTGGTGGAGAAAATTATTGTTCTGAGAACTAGAAGAGCTGTGAGGCTGAAATTCCAGGATGATTTTTCTACCTGTGCACTCACAGGCTCCAATTTAACTCCCAAGTATGCAGAGGCCTTACGTATGACCATGTGAGGGTCTTGATGCGAAAGTTATTAGCTCGGAAGCCGGAAAACTGGGAGGTTGAAATCTGGAGAGATGCTTCCTATCCATTTTTTTCAAATTCAGCTTTCGTGTACCAGCACGTGAAATTTTCAGTGGGAGATTTCTTAGCTTGGGAGCCAGACAGCATGTCTACTGTGTCCCCATATACGAAACTGTAAACCAGTCATATTTTTAGTAAGCAAACGTCCGTTGTTCGGAATTGCGCAAAACGCATGATCGTACCGGCTACCCTAGTGCGCGCCGCTATTTATTCATCTCTGTTGCTGTGGATATTGGTGAGGCCTCAGCATTACTGAGATGCCGCGACACGTAGATGTTCTGGTAGGGCTGGTTTGCTTCAATCTCCACTTGTTACCGTTATATTTGTGCAACATCGCCGGAGAAGTTATCATCCACACAGCGATTTTTTCCCTCACGGACAGCGCTCACTGATGCGCAGCGTCCATCAGTTACTGGCTGTTGTTGAAATTTGATAGGAATTTCTGGAAAAATTGATTTTAATCTCAGATCGCATTTCATGTTACAGCATGGGATCAAAGTGACAATTACGTGAAGCTGTATCTGACAGTTCCAGATGTGCATACGCTAACAGAAGATGGGATTGCAATTTCTTTTGCGGACAGGTAACTTACCCTGAGATACTCATGTGCACTTGGACCGGAAGGCTTATTCATTTATACAATCCAGATTTTCTTCGAGGTTTTCGATGTACCGTGATCGATTTTAAAGTTGGATTAGAAAAGCGCACGATAGAATGCATCAAGCACGGGGCGGCACGCTGTGAGACCTGTTGATTTTTCCTCCTGACTTAGTGTTATTCACATGTCTACTACATTTTGTGCTGCTGCCTTACAGTGCATGCAAAACCTGAAACACAGGTCATTGTATTGTTGGCTTTAGTGATTTCTAAAATGGACTGCTTATTCGTA